TGGAGTGTGTGTGCCTCATTAATGAGTACGTCATGCATCTCAGTTACAATAACTGAAAAATCAACCAAGGATCAAAGAAATAAAAACAAACACTATGGACGACAGTATACCAAGAAAAAACAGACCACAAACAATGACATGGCAAGCTCTTTCAGTAGAATTATTGTTTTCTTTCCAGTGACATAAAAAAAAAAAATTTGTACAACAAAAAAAGCTTTTGCAAGCATAAGAGTATTTTTATAACACTTTTAACTGAATAACTCACATTCGAAAGATGAAAACTTGTGTAAAATCAAAACTCTGGTTTCGATGACCCCAGTCTCTAATAGAAAATTCGTAAAAACAGAGAGAGAGTTTTCATTATCACAATAACTCTGTCATCATATGGTTTTAGCATTAGAAAAGTCAAAAAACAAAAAAAATAAATAAGTATTTTGTTAATTATTTTATTTGTTGATATTTCTTGCAACTTATTGATATTTATTTTAAATTTTATTTTCTATAAATGTATTTTTCTATTTTAAAAAAAAAGAAAAAACACCGATTTATTTAACAATTCGGTGGTAAAACATTATTTTCAAAATAACCTGGATTAATTGTATTTCCAGCTGGATAATAATTAGCTACAATATAAACTTCATTTCCCTTAGGTGAATAAGCTATTCCAACGCCTAATTTTCTCGATGATCTCCATACCATTTGTGTAAAATGACCAGTTTCTTTTGAATATTTTGGTTTGTCAAAATCATACATTCCTATTTCATTGTACCAACTTTGCATTGCTTCTCTTCCAGAAGCTGTTGGTCGGCCAAAAGATATCCATTGCATAAAGAGATTTTCTCCCAATTGTTCACTTCCTAATTGATTTCCACTATGTTCGAATGTTGATGTAGCTGCTAAATGTTCAGCATATGATTGAGCAATTTGATTTAATTGTTGACTTAAAACAAGTGGTGGTGCACAATGACGTGCACGATAATGATTATGTAATTTTAACATATCACCTTGAAATTTTGAATTTGATGAATGATGAGCGTGTTGTGAATCTTTAAAATAAAGAACAATAATTTTTTGTTTTACTTGTATTTTCTTGTTATTAGCATACTGTATCTATCTGATCGATGGCGTCTCACACCCATATCTACATGAGATGCTGCTAGTGAATATGGATATCGATGTCGTGATGTAGGAAGCCATCGTTTCTCATGATGATGACCTGATCGTCGTGTTGGACGTACTATAAATGAATAATATCTTGGATCCCTAAACAAAACTATATTCATAAAAGAAAAAACTCTAGATCAAATCATTACATTGATATAGCGTATGATTTCAACCAACGTTTAATTCAGATATACAGCAAAAACTAATCACCAAAATAGTACACCTGTACGTTAATAGCTATATACATAGATTTGCTATCCTCGCATTGCTTATATAGCTTCACGTATGAGTGCCTTGCATCGTGACATTGACACACTATAAATATTACTATGCGTAACATAAAGAAAAATGTGCCCTTTTCAAACATTGGAAGTGTACAGTAAACCACATGAATATAAGAATAACAAAAAAACAAAAAGGTCATAATTGAATTTCCATAAAGTAAGAACTTATTTCCTTTCGTTTAAAGTAATTATTGCAAATTTTACGGACAATTACAATTTTAGAAAACCTTGAATTCAAACGTAATTAAGAGAATACATGTTATCGAATCTTTATGTTCATTTGATTCATTTACGAATATGTCTGAGTGAGCTACGTGAATCGATTTTATCTGTTTATTTTTTTTTTTTTTGTAATTAGAAAAAAAAATGAGCTGAGAAGGCGGTGTATGTCATCGTAGCACATTTATAATTAATCATATAAAATAGGCTATAAATTTTGAATAACAATAGCATAGTCTAAAAATAAATAAATGATGATTAATACCATATCATATGCAATCAACTAATGTAACAATAGAAAGATATATTCTCGTCAAACTAAAGATTTCATCAGCAAACTAATAAATTTAAAATATGAATGACTGGTGAAGTGCACGCACTGATATATTCGAATTTAAAGTATTTTTTATTAGTTGTAGTATGTCGATAATTCAAAATTTGAACAAAATTTATTTTTTTTAATTTTTGTCATGGTTGAATAATAAATCTCGTAAAGTTATACGAGAAAAAAAAGTCTGTTTCAAATAAAAAACAAAATATTTTAAGAGAAAAGTTCATAATATCATTATTTTCAAATATTACGAGAAAAGAATGTGAAATCTTCAAGTCTTATAAAATCTATTCAACCATGATGAAAAGAAAAAAACAATAAATCTAGCTGAAATCTTGAATTTTTGACATATTGCATTCACTATAAATACTTTAGAATTCAAATATCGCAGTCAATACACGTCATCAATAGTTCATATGTTTTTGCTGATGAAACTTTTAATTCGATCCAAAAATGTCCAATGTCCTTGAGCAACAGTACACGGTCTTTTATAACAAGTTGAATCTCGATTCGACGAAACTATCGTTTCGTTTTTCCTAAAAAAAAATAAATTGAACGTAATTTTCTTAGAAGAAAATGTATGACGTATCTTTATTCTTCGTATATTTATATGTCGTTCCAAAGTTATTTTATATTAGCAAAAAAGTTATAAACGAATTCATTGACAATGATATTATGAAAACATCAGTGTGAGAGTTAAAAGTGTTTTTTTGTAAAAAGTTGATAGTTGAGAAAAACGGCAAAAAGTTAAAATGTTTATAACTTGGATTATAACTATCAACTATTTTAACTCGATTAATTTTTTGAATAGATTTAATTAAGTTGAAATAGTAATTATTTTAATAGAATGAATTAAAATATTTCTATTTTATTCTTCTTTACTTCAAAGACTTAGTATTTATAGATTATTCTCTAAGTATTGTGTCATATATTCATCTGCGAGTTTCGTTTTCTCGTAGTTACCCATTACCTATGAATGAAACGATATATTCTTTACCGTACAACATTGAATTTTTTCTATGTTAACAGATAGAAAGGATACGAAGCATATACAGTTTTGAATTAAAAGTTTCATAATAGAATAAATCGGTCGAATGTTGAAATTATTATAACTTTCGTTCATAGTTATCATCTTGGATCTTACTTAGAAATAGTTTGATTATAGTTATTATCTAACACAATTTTCAACATTACTCAAGACTTCCCACGTAAAAAAAAATGAGGATAAAAATCATATGTTTTTAATCGTTTTGTGACCAATTGTAACTAAAAATAAACCAAAAAACAATCAAAATTTCATTGATTATTTTAATTAATTTCGATTATAAACTATTAAAGCTTGATGAAAAAAAATTGATTATAATTAATGTAAATTGGTTAAAGATTTTTCATTTATCACGAAGAAATACTAATTAAAATCGAGGTTTTTTTCCTAGAACCTTTAATCGATTAAAATCGAAATTAATCAGAAAAATCAAAGAAGTTTTGGTTTTTTGGTTATTTTGATGATAATAATTTTTTAATCTATTTAAATTTGACTACTACTCTATTTTTTTCTACTTGGGTTGAGACTAATTAAATCTGTTAGTCATATCTATGCTTCAAAAAAGGTACGCTCATATCAGGTATCAACGAGCCACTGTCCACTTCACACTTCTGAATAATGTAGGAACCATTTCTCTTTACCGTTAGTTTGTAAGGAAACAATAGTTGCATCTTCTCTTCTTCTGCCTCTTGTTGTCTTGATTTCTTTACTCTTTCGTTTCTCTTATCGATGTGATAGTACCCTTCAGCAATTTTTTTCTCAAATTTTGCCTTTAGTTCACTCTGGGTGCATTTCTGTTAAGAATTTAATATTTGCTGAAATGTGTATGATATTATGTACTTTTTTTTGTGCTAATTTCGAATATGGTAAATAATTCACTATGAATTTGAAAATGAGATTAAGATTTAATATAACAATGGTTGATATCAGCTTTACAGTACTTTCAAAATATTTCATTTTCTCAAAATATCTCGATGAAAATGGATCTTAAAACAGATGATTTCGTTTTTTAAATACAAGAGTACCCCCTAAAAAAAATAATGGTAAACATGGTCACTATGTCATTTTGTAGAGTATGAAGAATTGTCTCAATCTACGCTATTACTTTTCGTATGGAGTTTATAAAAGAAAAAAATTACAGGTCCCATAGTTATTAACCAAAACACCCAAAACTGAGATATCCTGAAGACTAATTAGACATCGAAAAGATTCTTTTTGCATTCAACTAAAAACAAAAAAATAAGTAGATAGAAATATGTGGAGTTTCATGCTCTCTCTTTCTATCCTATTAAAAGTGAATTTTAGGGATATGATAAATTTACGAGCTTATCCGATAGTGTCCTTTATCTAACAATAGAAGATTGTATATGTAAAACAAGAACATTTAATATATTCCAATCAAAGTAAAGATGTTTGATAATATGTACGGACTTATATATTTCAATGTTACAGAGTCTACAATGATTTTAATGTATTAATAATTCAAATTTGCGTAAGATTTAGTTGTGTCTCTTTTTGTCACAATTGAATAGAGTTCGTCAAGTTACATAAACGAAAAGTATGTTTCAAATATAGAGGGCAATAGTGTGAAAGTTTCGAATCTCATAAAATTTCTTTTTCAATATGTATAACATATTATTTCGAATGTCTCAATTCATGCACATCATTAACAGTTTACATGGTTTTTTTCTAATGAGATTTTTATTTTGATCCGAATATGTCCAATGTCTTCTAGGTACAGTATACATCCCTTTACTTCAAGTTGAATCTCGATTCGACGAGAATGTCTTTTCGTTCTTTTAACAAATAAATTCGATGTGTAATTTTCTCTCAGAAGAAAATGTGTATAGTATATCTTTGTTTTATTCTTTATGTATATATATATATATATCGATGTACGACTAAAGTTTCTTTAACTATTTTCATTTCGTCGACTATTTACATAGATTTAAATAAAATGACTGAAGTAAGAGATTAGTTTATTTAAATTTTTGTTTTCGTTATATATATTTATTTTTTTTTGGATATGTTAAGACTACAATTATTACGACACAAATTCGTTCAGATTCAGATGATTTCGATATTCGTCGAGAATTTTGTGGCTTTCAAGTAGAAATTATTTAATATTTTTCTTTTTTTTTTTTTCTAATTTGTTTTTTTGCAATATTTAATAGGATAAACGTTTAAATGATTTACGACAATTTACATCTTGTATTATTGATTTACAAACACATGGTACAAAACATCCATTTGAAAAAGTTACTTGGGTAATTTCGTAAGTAACAATTCTTCAAAAAAAAAAAAACATTAGAATTTATTTTTGTTTATTTTAGACATTATGATGAAACAGTTCGGACTTTTGTTGTTAAACGTATTCAAGCATGGGCTCAAACTACACAAATATCTGCTCATATTCATGCAGAAGATATAGCATTTCATCAACGTCTGTAGTTTTAATTTATTTTATTGCCTTTTTTTTTTTTTTGTAAATAAATAAATTTATTCAGATATATCATCAGATTCATCATCTTGTTCAATTGATGGTAAAGTACAACAACTTGGAAATTCAGTAAAATCATCTCCATCACCACCAACAAATTCTATTCCATTAGTGTTTAATAAAAATTCTAAAACACCATTACATAATCATCATCATCATCATCATCATCATAGTAACGTACCAAATGCTGCTCTTGTTCCACAAACTGATATTCAATTACGACATCAACCACGTCGTCGTCGAAATTCATCATCAAGTAGTTCAGGAATACGTCGACCAGGTTTTATTTTATTGATTATTTTCTTTTTTTTTGTTCATAAAATGTTATTAATGGTTGGTTTTGTTTTTTTTTTATTCAGCATTATTTGGTAAACCTAGTGATTATTTTTTT